AGATGGTCATGTTGCCCTGGTTCTGGTTCATGCAGTCGGTGAAACTCTTGATGTCGGCGGCACAGGGGCCTTGGGCTTCGACGGCGGAATTTTGCGCATACAGAGAGTTCGGCATGGCGTCTCCCGTCCGTGCATAGGCATCGGTCGGGGCTTGTTGTTGCTCGACGGGTGCCGACGACGAGCCACCGCCAAAGAAGCCTCCAATCGCATGCCCGATTGAGGATCCAACTGCCACGCCACTGCATATTTTCACGCACAAGTCAGTCATTCGTGCTTCTCTTCTTATTTGCGGCTCCATAGATTGACGTATGCGTTTCCGGAACTCCACTAAGGGGAGGAGGGTGATAACTCACGCTGCGGTGCTTGCCATCTGCCCAAACAGGCCGGGTCCTTGCGAGGCTTGTGCAGGAGGATGAGCCTGTTGAGCGGGTGCGGTCGGGGCGGAAGAGTAAGGACGTTGCTGCTGCTGTGGCGCTGTAGACCGAGGTGCTGGAGCTGGAGCTGTTGGCCGCGATGGAGCCGATCGGGAGGGAGCTGCACCTCCGCGAGAACGAGGCATTTTTGCTGAGAAGAGGATTAGAAGGGCGAGGTAATACGGGTCCGAGTTTCTGAGTGGGGGAACGAGGATTCGAGGCGAGCAGTGGCAGTTTGGCGGAATGAAGGTTGTGAAAGACAGATGAAGAACCATTGCAATTGATGTCGCCTCAAAAGCGCCTCAAACCGCAGACGCTCCGACGGCTTGGCATTGTTGGAGAAATCGGCACACCTGTTTTCTGGACGCTGTGGTTGGTTGATTTGAGCTTCCACCGAGTCAGTCATTGTTCTACGACTCGCGATGGAAACGACACGAATACTTGCAGCCTGTGTCGCTGTGGCAATTCTGAATGAGCGTCAATGACCACAAGAGCCGTTTCCCATTCTCGCTCTCTTTGCGCTCAGTCATAGAACCTCTAACAAGGTCAGAAGTCATACATAGTCTCGCCTATTCTTCAACTTTTCGTCTATGATGGCACGAGTTGGAAGTTCGACAATGGCCTAACAAATACTCGTACTTAATAGTCATTTCGTAGATTCGGTGCTGTCCTCGTGTCCACGTGCTGGTCCCAGCCGAAAGCGCCACGTGATTTGGCGACGTCGCACGAGATCCTAGTTCTCATCACGACGAGCACGGACGAGTGACTACCATGCCCCGGTGTCGTGTACGTAGCAGCCTTCGACACTCGAAAGGAAGCGTATCGACTTGCTTACGAACAGCGAATCGCGTATGCAGGGGTGTTTATGTAGAGTGACCAAAAAACACATTCTGCACTCTGTTTTGTGTGAAATTCAAACTCGAGTATGAGATGACAGGATCAACCGTGCTTCGACGTGCGTTACAAGGATGGATTGACGAAGAACACCCCCTGCTCGTGTCGTTGTTGGAAAGGTAGCGAAATCCAGTGCATATTGAAGTGAGCAAAACTCCTGAAACACTACCATCAAAAATTCACACGGTCCTGTATCGGGAAAAATCAATTGCAGGCCCAATTTTGCGCAGCCCGACGAAGACACCGCATTGTCCCCTTCCCAGGAGGTACCCCAGCTCCCTTAGCACCTCGACCTCTGTGCCATAACCCGTTCCCTTATCTGCTACAATTTCCCTAGTTTCCGACTATCCAGAAACGAATTTGGCCCGATCATGCTGATGGGGGTGGCGGAGGTACATAATCGCCCATGCCTGGAGGTGGTGGTGGTTGGTCATCTGGCGGCGGTGGGGGCGCCCCTGCGTCTGGAGGAGGTGGTGGAGCACCCGCAGCCATACCGTATTGTTGCAAGAAGGAGCTGAGCCCCGGGGGAGCAGCTGCGGGAGGTGCACCGTACGCGGCTTGAGCATCGTAGCCGGCATAACCGCCATAAGCGCCATAGTTCTGGCCGGGAGGTGGTTGCTGTTGCCACGGAGCAGCTGCAGGTTGACCAGGGGCAGCTCCATATCCTCCGTGCGAGTCCCCTCCACGAGATTGCTGCCACGGTGGGAGGGATGAGCCACCATCTCGGTCGCCATAGTCTCGTTCCCGGTGCCCGTAGTTGCGTTCGCGATTGCCATAATCCCGTTCCTGTCGGTCGCGTTGCCATGGAGCCGGACCACCAGTACCAGCACCAGGTTGCTGGCGTGCCCAAGGTCGTGAGTCACCACCACCGCCACCACCGTACGAATCACCCCGGTCATAGCCGGCTGGTGCAGCTTCGATGTGGCCTGCAGGGCCGTTGCCAGAAGCATTGCCAGAAAGCTCCTGCATGAGGCTCTGCAAAAGTGTCAAAGAGTGTCTCGTGGCACAGGGGAAGAAGTAGGGAACATACCTCCATTTCGCGGTCGACAGCATCTCCACCACCGATGCGCCGCTGTGGGCCACCGAATCCCCCGGGGATATTGTTGCGCGTATCAGAGCCACGTTGCCTGTCCGGGCAATCTCGAGCCATGTGGCCTGCATTGCCGCAGACTCGACAGATGATGTTGGCAGTGAAGTTGCGCTGCTCGGGACAGTCGTACTTCCGATGACCGATTTGGCCGCCTAAGACAGTCAACGAGAGCTGCACCAGTTGCGGAGTTGACTTACAGTTCTGGCAGGCTTGGTTCTCATCGTCACGCAGCGTACCGTTGAGCGCCGCAAGTTCCCGCAACTGATTTCGCTTGAGTTCATTTTGTCCTTCAGGTATAGACGCGGCTGTTTCGATGACGTTGTGAATGAGTGCTTTCGCCTTGTTCACCTTTTCCTCGGTATCTGCCATGATGAGACAATGCAAGTCTTCTTCCTGATTGCTGGTGTGAGCTGCGTCAGATCGTCCCTTGCCTTCTTTGACCGAGCCCTTGCCTCGAATGGCGATTTTGGCTCCAGATTCGGTTTCCATTTTTTTGAGCGTGTTGCCACGAGGTCCAATAAGTAAGCCAACTTTGCGTAAGAAGAAGCTAAGTGTTAGTCTTTGATTCTGTAAAAGCAGAGCATATCTCAAGGGCAATGGTTAGAGTGATGGTTAGTGCAGCGTGCCAGGGTCCACCTCCGCATTCACGAGGAGCAGACGACAGCACATGGAACGGAACAACGGAAGAAGGGGAGTTTTAGCAGAGTTAGAGGGTTAGTAAGCATACTGAAGTTAATCTCGGGATAGTCGTTGACCGGCACGTAGACCTTTTCCTGCGTCTTGGTGGGTCGCCTGTAGTCAGAAGGCGGGTGGTAGTTTGGGATGGTCTTCATGGCCTTTTCAATCAATTTGTGACGCTCGTCCTCCAGTCGCTTGCGGTAGCGAAACTCGCGTGTGTTGACACGTCGACCGAAGTTGTCGTATTGAGGAGGAGGCGACGGAGACCTGGACATCTGTTAGATACTGTGGGTGAAGACTCGATGGACGTGATGCACTCACCGATCCGCTTCCGCAGGAACGACGTCGTTGATGCGCAATTTCTGGCTGATCTCCTCGATGCGCAAGTGCAGGGTGTACGCCTCGAGCTGTTCTGCAGTCATGTTTGCCTGGATCATTGTTGGGAGACCCATGAGACCGGCTGCTTTGTTTTCAGCCGCATCGCCCCACCGATTGCGCTTTCTACGTCTCTTCTCGCCGTCGGCCGAAGGTTCAGCTGGAATCAAGTTAGCTTCAGTGGTGCGTCGCGTGATGGACGACGTACCTCTAGGAGGACTTCGCCCACGCTTAGAGCCCGAATCGCCATCAAATGGAGAGTTCTTCGAGCTTTCATACTGCGAGTCACTATTGCCGTCGCCTCCGAACCGACGGCGGTTCCCGAGAGGGATGTTATTAGAGCCCGTGATGCCTTGATTGCGCCACGACATCTTGATGGGGGGAATTATGATGATGCTGAGGTTACGCAAAGTCAAGCGCAGGCATGGTCGAGAAGTTCAGGGGCGGAATTCAGAGATCGCGGCCTGCCAAGAGAATTGCCTGCGCTCGCTATACCTTCCTCATGGGTCCATGTCGCCTTTGGTTCGTGCTCACTCCGGAGAGCAGAAAGTGAAGTGTTAGGCAATGAGATCGCATTCAAAAGCACTTTACTGCCTCTATTCACACTCGGAATGTTCGAGCCGAGCTCTTGTCAGATGTTATGGGTGAAAGGCAGCGACATTGACACAGCACAGCCCTCCTTTGCGTTGATCGTACTTCCTTTCATGCCCTCCTCATGCTTACCGGCATAACTTCTTTCGAAACAATTGGCTTTCCTTGTACTGGCATCCTCGACCGGACAGTCATAAGATGGAAAGCACCCAAGTCAAATACCTGCCCTTGTGATGATTGTCATTTAGGCCAGCTTGAACCAATGTGTACCAATGCGAATTAACAAAACCAGATTCACACCTGAAGGGACTGCGCATTGTAAAGTCATCTTGCGCAGTCTCGACCTGTTTACTACCCAGTTGCCATTCAGAACGAAGACCTGTACCTGCCGATAGAGCAGACCGCAAGAGACCCAAATATCGTCCTCTTGGGAAAAGTTCACCATACCTATGCTCCGACATGACATGGTGCAAGGATATAATTGCCTGGTGTGAAGTCTCGACTGAGAGGCGAAGAGGTATGGAAATTTGACTAACCGGCGCTGACGAAAGAGACATGTGGTGAAGTAACGAAGCAGTATCTCAAGCCTCGAACTGCCCTTTTTACTCCTCGCCATTCAAAGGCTACTGTAAGAAGATTCAACACTTCATTCAGCGGCATTTCCACCGGGCAAGAGGGCCCAATCACAATAACACAGCATAATCGCAGCCGAATTGAGGAACACATAGAATCCGGATCGCTGCCGGGCACCTGTATCACCGTCGTCTTCAAGCTCAAACCGTCTGGTACAATATCCTTCTCTGCCACCTAACGGGACGGGAAATCAAGAACCCGCTTTCCAACAAAGACGGATGTCGTGGGAGGCAAGCCTACAACTAGCGGGCGCACAGTGAGGTTGGAAAGGGATATCATCGCTCAGAGATCAATGGTATAACGTCCCTTTGAATAACGATCTCTAATCAGCTTGACCTGGACCGCATCCACCACACGCTCATTCCCAGCACAACCGGCAGAGTCACAGTCAGGACGAACTTGATGGTGGCATCCCTCATCACCGGCCACCTCCACTTGTCCTTCACATCCTCATGGTTGACAGCCCTCGGAAACGGCACATCCTTTGGCACATCCTTGCCCAGGTACGCACAGATCTTCTCCCAGCCCAACCCGTCCTCCAGCTTCGCCACCAGCATCCGTTCCGGGGGTATCACTCGCTTCACATCCCTGATATACCGCTCGTAATTCCGCATCAGCGCCTCCTCGTTGCGCGAGTCGCCTGGTCTCGTCGAATCAGACCACAGGTTATACACATCCACGTTCATGACGCAGAAGTAATTCAGCGTCCGGCTGAAGTGTCTGAGGATGCTTAGCGGGGGCTTCTCAATCGCGCGCACAACCTCGCCGATGAAGCCGTTAAAACTCCTGGCCCAGCTGCGGGCCGTGCGCTCGGTCAAGATGAACTTGACTTCGGGATCTGCGACGTATGCTTCGAGGCAGTCGGTGCCGAAGAAGGCGGGCACTTCCACAACGGCATCATACCCAGCGAACCACCTGTCGAACTCGCGCTTGGTGTACGGAGGTTGGCAGGTCGGGCTGGAGAGCCTGTCATGGCGCGCGTGCATGCCTTGGATCAAAGTCTCCCAGTGTGGGTCGCCGCCCACCATGGACAATTCGTAGAGGTGGTAGGGGCGGTAACCCAGTATTTTGAGCGCCTGGTAGACGCCCAGCGTGGCGGTGCTATTAGGGAAGAGCAGGAATATTAGCACCGGTCTATGATCGGACCTTTTCCGCTTTGGAGGTGTATGAAATGGATGGGTACCATACCGGCTGCAACTTGCTACGATGAGCTTGACTTTTGGCGAGGCGGGCGGATCTGGGAGTTTGTCGACCGTGCGTGCCATTGTTGCTCGAAGGTCGGTGATGCTGGACAGGACACTACACTACACTATACTGGCGACAGACCTATGGATCGGGGATGGGCAGAGAGGGAGTGTTTTGAGTAGGGAGTGTTTTGAGTGAGGAGTTATCGAGGTATTTACTGGCCCGTCATACTACTCAAAGCTCGGACTGTATACTCTGTACATCAGGCAACGTGAAGCAGTCCAAACGGCCAGCCGGAAGGCTTATCTCCTTCATCTCCACCACCTGCAGAACGTACAGTAGATCGATCAACGAACCGAAGGGATGATTGATCCTGCCTTACGTCCTTAGTCGACAGGTGGAGTCGACAGGAGACGCACACATAATAGCGCATCCTTGCCGAAGCCTTGGCGGCAATAAAAAGCGTTTCCTTCGTCGATTCACAGTTCAGGAACCTGCACAATTCTGGCTAAACCTTACCCGTCTCGCTGCGTGGCCGGGTGCACCATAAGCACTTACGACCCGTCCTGGTTGGTGGTCGTGTCGGCGTCAATGGCCATGGCGGGTCTGGGGCTGCGACATATTACAACGGGAGAGATTGAGGAGACGGGAATTTTGGTGCTACCGTTGCGACGGCACCGTACGAAACAAAACTGGACACTGCTGGTTGAACAGACAGATTGACGCCGCCGTGATATATGGTGGTGCATAAGCGGTGTACGGTGTATGGTGATGTATGGGATGCACAGTCTACCCAGTAGACGGCACTCCGTGTGCATAGACTGTACATACTGTAATGTATACTGGGCGCACCCTCTAATGGCTGGTCAGGGAGTACTCGTATCCCCCGTGACATGAAATGAAGCAATTACCGTATACCGCATCGCACCGCGTCCGTCCGTGCTTGGGATGCGTACGTCTAGCCAGCCAGTCCGCTAGGAGCCAGCCAGAAAGTCAAAGTCAGGAGTCAGGGGTCGAAGAGTCAGCAAATCAATACTTGTAGTTGAAGCTTCGAGGCAATGATTGGTGCTTCTACCTCGTAGTTGTACTCTCGTCAGACGCGTGAACCCCGGATTCCATAAGCAGCCCCGGCAAAGGTTCTAGGTTTTGGGGTCCAAAGACGGGTGTGGGAATTATGTAGCAACCAGGAGGAAGACGGACGTACTTAGTGCTCGGCTCCGTAGTACCATAGAGTACCTTAGGTACACAGAGCACGGGATTCGGTACTGCATATCGCATGGTAGACGGTACGCGGGCACGTTGAGCCATGGCTGGAGGTGACCGCGGAGGCAAAGTCGAAGTACTCCGTACAGACATACAGTAAGTCGGTAAATTTCTCGCCAACAGACAGATTCCACCTGGCATCCGCAGTGACATCCGCGTTCGTGTCTTTCAGGCCCCCAAACCGACGGTCGCACCGATACCCGGCCTCTCTGCTTGAGGTTGCGCATCGTCTGTTCGAACCTCTTGACCTACGCTTTGTTGCTATAGATGGCCAAAATGACCCAGCGCTCGATTGTCCTCGTTCTTGCCACACGAGCATCATGCGTACATGAAACTTTGGCCCCATGCATGCGCCGAACACAAACTCCGGGCACGGACTTCGACCGACCGCACGAGCGGCGGCGGACCAGATACACGACTGCTCGGGCGACGGGTGCCATGACGGCGTTGATCAGGGGTCACGGTGATGGCCGACGGCCTGCCGAGACATTGAACCATCTCGCGGACGCGCAATAAAGACTGCAGCCTTCTTTGTCATTCATCACGGTACGTATTGAATTATGTTATGGACTCTAGTCTGGAGCTCGATAAGGAGTCAAAATGCATATAAAAACCAAGTTATCTTCAGAATGGGATTCGTTTCAACAGCCGGCGGACTGACCCGACACGACAAACTAGCGCTCGAGGGCGTCTAGAGTCATATGTTCAACATTGGGATTTATTCGTCTGAAAGCCCCCTGACCGTCACGTATTTATCGGCTGATCTGTTTGTCGCCCTGTCAAAAATAGTTGTAGAGAAGGAAACTGGACTGTTTTCTGTCTTTGCTCCACTTTATATACGTCCGAACACTTTCCACAGCGACCCGCTTAGTAGCTGACCTTGCTCTTCTGGTCGCTCAGCAACAACCGTGACCATTGGACCAGCGTCAGGGTAGAGGTCTGACGATATCTTCGAGGCCCGACGGTTGTCCATGTACCATCTCGAACAGGGGATCAAAGACTGTGGATGAACGTTTCGAATAGTCTCCGTCTGCGTAAGGAGGTTTCTCTTGGAAGAGGAGCTGGTCCCGAGACGCTTCAATGATCTTGCCATTCAGCGACGGATCGTCCAAGAATTTCAGATATCCCGCCAGTATGGTTGATCGAGGAGTCAAGCTGGGGAGCCCCCGGTTAGTACTCGGAGCAGCACGGCTGTGATCAGGACCTGTCCAGGACCCACCTGTCTACTCCAAAGGTGTCGCGCATGAATTGTGGGATGTTCCGAGTAGGCACCACTCCCGGACATATCGCGTTGATGGTGATGTTGTCCCGCTGCTCTGTGTCAGCTTTGGCCATCTGCAGGGCTTTGCCCCATTACTGACCAACTTCAGAACCGGGGCGGTTGCCCGAACGAATCCGATGATCTGGGGCAGTATTAGCGATGGTCACCGCTTGGTCTTCGATTCAGGCGGGACTGGGACTTGCAGCAGCCTTGGCACCAGAGTACTCGGGCAATGAGGCCATAGGATAGAGTCCAGCAATACTGGAAGTCGCCACAATATGGCCTCCGGGAGTCGGATTCTGACGCATAAAGTGTACTGCAAGCTGGGTTCCGTAGATTAAGCCTTTGAACATAACGTCCGTGGAGGCAAGGTCTGGCTCGGGAGGTATCCTGTCACACTCACGTCAGGGATCGTACACTCGGGCCCTTGAGAAGAGCACCTCACTCGGTACTTCCGCGACTGTTGAGCAGGTACACGGACGACTTATCTACGAAACCCGCGTTGGAGCAAAAGGCGTCAATCCGGCCCCATTTCTGGAATGTCTTTGAAAATGATGTGGCAAGTTCATCGTACTTTGAAACGTCGCAAGCGATGAAGAGGAATGCCTCTCCGAGTTCTTTGGAGAGCTCATCGGCGGCGGGACCCTGAACGGCGAGGTCGAGTCCGGTCACTTTCCATCCTTTCGCTACCAGGCCCCGCGATAGTTCTTCGCCAATCCCAGACGCAGCTCCCGTGATGATCGCAACTCTCCCTTCCGTGGCTGTCATTTTCAACGGGGACCAAGACGAGATCACTCGAGACGCTCTGTTGGGGTATACCTTGCTGATTGCTAGACAGTAGAAAGGATGGCGACCGGACTCGAACAGCAGGGCAATGGGGCTTACCCTGGACGTGCAAGCGAGGCAGCTAGCAGGCCAAGAAGGAATGGATTGTGCAGTAGCGGAGCATGAAGCCAAATGCCGGAATCCGCGAAGCCAGCAAACCGCATGGCGCACTCATCCGGGGTGTCATTTCTTTCATTACCACGGCTTTATCCAGAATCTGCGTTGAGCCCCCTTCAGATTAACGCGGAACCAAGGGCCCGACGTGAAGGCGTGGAAACGGCAGCAATATCATTCTGTGGGTGTTCGTCACAATCAGCTGAACAGGACTGTTCACCATGTTAGGACAAAAGGGAGTCCGTCGGGGTGGTGGGGGTTCGCCCTGTGTCACGTGTATGGAACGCGGGGTCGACTTTTCCCCTCGTCAGGGTTCACGAGGCTGGCTTCCATCTAGCGGGCACCACAGGGGAAAGTGACATGACATCGGCCGAGTCGAATCTCGAGACACCTACTCGTACAAGACCAGCTATCACAGCCAGCTCATGGCCACGAGGGAGTGAGGCAAGACCGCGCCTGGGTCATGCCACCGCCACTCGCCTGTCCAGGGAACAGCTGGGAGGTCGACAGCCGTGGGCCTTGTGCAGGACGACTGATTAAATCCTGACGTGGATCGTTTGATTGCGCGAATGGGGTAATGGACTCGGGAGATGGACTGAAGCTGTAGGACACTGGACAAAGGGTAACGCTCAAGGAGGAGTGAAGAGGTGGGAGTTGCTATCGCCAAGGAGACCAGTAGAGGCCGTGGCCCTGCTCGCCCCGTTTGCAGCCTGCGTTGCCAGTACGCGACTCAGGCGCGTCCGGATCAAATTCAAATTCATCTTCCTCCTTGCGTCGCTTCAGATATGCACAAAGTCCTCGACGACAACGAGCCGGGTCATGGACTTGACCCGTCTTGGCACTGAGTCACGCCCTGGCAACGCTGGTCAAGCTCACTTGGAACCATTTGCACATTCAACATTTAACCGATGGTCTGATATAAGAATGGACCGTGTCCAGGCTCCAGACGCCGCGCACAATTAAGTATACCATTTTTTCCCGCAAGTAAATTCCCAATTGCCAAGGCACGTGGGCATTCGAGTGCCGACAACTCGGGAGCCAGAAAACTGCGATGCGACCCTCGACATGAAGACCGACGGAAAGCCCTAATAAAAGGGAACTGCGAGCAACCTCCTAGGTCTGCTTGTCATAGTTGTCGAAGATTCGGGCTGGAAATGTATTCCGGCAGGCATTTCTCCGGATCGCTCGTATCGATCAGAGCTAATCTGCTACAGTACAGCTTCCAAGACACCCATCATGACCAGGTGTTAGTTAAACGTTCAGATCAAGGCGATCTTGTTCCATAAAGCGAGGCAGAACGGCATGGCTTTCCGTAAATTCTGCGGTCTGAAGCAAGCCCAGCAAGCGCCTGCAGCTGTGTACCGGCCAAAAATATTGTGATAGCGGATCGAGCCGCACAGGTGCGACGTTGGCCCGACGCAAACCCGAATATTGAATATAAATTGACGGGCTTGCGGCCATGATCCGTGAAATTGCCAGAGAGATTGCTGCGCAAAACACAAGGTCGACCCATAACTCCAAACAGGAAGGTCTCGCAGTGCAGTGATGGGGGTGATCAATCATCGATCAGTCCGAAATAGTCGGCAAATTCTTCCAGATCATTGCTGTAGTGGGGTCATGGTGATCGAGAAGGGAAAAGAAATAGAAAAGGTGGCCAGAAGAGGGGAGTAGTGGGTGCTACCGGGTATTGTATGTATTGGGGGCCCGTCGTCGTGAAAAGGGTCATGTATAGGAGCTTTAAAAAAATAAAAAAAATATCGACACCTACAGGATTCGAACCTGTGCTCTGGAAGAAGAGTTAGATTTTACTACAGAAGAGAACGATCATGATGAAACCTACCCCGAAGGAAATGCCTCGACTTGTTTAGCAGGGCACCGCGTTAACCACTCCGCCAAAGTGTCGTGTGAACACTTTTGACGCAAAACTAAGATTTACAAAATATATGAAATTGCTCTAACCTCGGCCGGATGTGAGTGGTCCGTGCTGCCGAGCCGATGACCAAGCCAAATCTGTCCTAACTACGTGGCCTTAAAATGCACTTTTCCCAATGCCTAGCAATGCTGTACATGCCGCTACTCGTAACCAGGTATCTCTACGATGTGTCTAGTGGTGCCTGCGCAACGGATAAGCGCGATTGCATGAACCCCAGTGTTGAACATTCACCCATCCAGACTCAGGCCGGTCGGTCGGTCACCCTGCTGGCCGCATTCCAAAAGCCACGTCGAGGAAGATCAGCAGGGCACCGGGGCTCTCAGCACCAGAGAGACACAGGAAGCCACACAGCTCTCTGCGCTGAACCGAAAATCCTTGGACCAACCGAAACTATAATCCCGCGAAAAGCCTCGCAAGCCAAACATGGACGTATCTCAGTCTACTGTACTCGTACGGCACTCCCATTCGAAGCCGAAAGTTTGCTCCCAACGGCCAACCCCGGAGGAACTGACATCACGGTGGAAACCGGTGGGAACGTACATATTGCAAAATGACGTGCAGTGACATGCCAGCTACGAGTAGGTACAGGTGAGTATTCCGTACAGTACTCGTTACAAGTATGGGTAATGACCACATTTCCAATTCTGAATTGTGAATTGCCATTTCAGCCGGACGCCCCTGGAAGCCAGCACGGGTACTCCATATTCCGAACGTGGACACAGTAGGTAGGAACCATGGGTGCCCAGACAGGCCTCATTCTAATACGTACGGTATCTCTAATTTGTCCCGGTTTGTGTTACCTGCTCTCAACCATGCCGTCCTTTACAGAATATCCCAAGCCGCTCGTCTCCTGCACGCTAAAAATGCAGGGGCAGTCCGCACCCAGTCCGCCTCGATTGGGATGGGATGTGGATATGGCCGTGGATTGGGATTGGGATTCGGACTCGGACCATCTGCGATTTCGAAGCCCAAATATCGGCTTACAGGTATGCAGGCAGGCTGGCACATCCATGCTACTGGGTACCTTGTCCCTCCGGCTACGTACATACATACGTATATAGACGCGATCAGGGACAGATCAACCAAGGAGCAGTGAATGTCTGCCCGCCTGGCCAGGTCAGGTCAGGTCGGGACACCTGAGAACATATCAGATCAGATCAGGTCAGGTCAGTTTCTGTTTCTGTTCAAGCTCAAGTTCAAGTCATGATTGTAATTTCTGCATGCTATCTTCACGATATACCTCAGAGGCCTGTCTTGGCCCTGTCTTTAATCAGATACTGCTTCCTTCGTAAATAACGTAGTCAAATGAGATCCTCCGGTACAGTCTGCCCACTTATATACCTCGTACCTCAATACTTATATACATTTCGACATGTCAAGGAGTGTCCAGTGTATCCACCCAAAGAGAACTCTCCCACCGAACTCCGGCATAGGTGAAAGGAGAATGAACGAGATATAATCACGTTAGTGCTGTCCCGCATCAACTCATCACTGCCATCTTCTTCAAAGTCTCGCTCTGATCCCTTCCCCGAATCGCTCGTCTGCTGCCCTCCTGCCGGTTCCGCGCTCCAGGTCGATCCGTAGAGCCGGCTTGATATATCGCTCCCAGCTCTCGCGGGTGTCAAAGCCGCCTGCCTCCTTGGCCCGAGCGTTGATGGGCAGCTGCCTCGTCCAGCTCATCAGTCTCTCGTAGACGTCCCCGTCCTTGCAGCCCAATGCACTTGCCAGACTTGCGTCGCTGAAATCCCACGCGTCCGTCAGGGCGATGGCGTTGGGGAGTATGGCTTCTAAGAGGGTGTTGGTTTGTTGAGAAGCGATGATTTCGAAGCGCGGGTAGAGGAAGGCCGGAGGCAGGGATGCTGTTGTGGGGGACGAGGTGGGGAGTTGAGGGAAGAGTTGGCTCAGGGCGAAGAGATGGCAGAGCTGAGTGAGGACTGGTTTGATCTGCGCGTCACTGATGGTAGGAAGAGCCAAGTAAAAGGAGGACAACACGAAGTGGGAAATGTGCGCGTGGGCGGCGCGGATGAGAAGGAGCATGTGCGAGTTCCATGCTTGTGGTTTGGGCGTGCCTTCTTTGACCGCCTCATTCAGGGCGGTATGAGCGGTCTTTACATGGTAGTGTGCTCGAATAGCCGAGAGATGATGTAAGTCCTTGAGAGACGTAGGGTCGATGGGTGTTGGGGAAAGGATACCCGGATCATTTGCGAGATAAGCAATTTCGGGAGGGACTTGACTGGATGCGGTCAGTGTTCGTCTACAGAGAAGATCAGGAGCATCACTCACCTTGTTCGGGGCTGCACACTTTCAAACACGTCCATGACCTTCATCAGATATCGGGCCGTTTGCTGCCACATGACCATGTTGTCACCTTCGAGGGTGCAGCATGCGGTGACCATGTTTACAATATCGGGCAGTCCGGAAATGTTGAGATATCCATGGCCGCCACAGCACTTTCTGGCATCTTCCGCCCCGTCGGCGGCGACAGTGGTGAACCAGGCTTTTGCCCCTGCCATCAAGCCATGAGCATGAGTGACAGTGGAATAGTCTCCCTTCCTCAGTCTCGCATCGAGATCGTCCTGGATTTTCCGCGTGATCTTTGATGCAAACGACATGGCATAGGCGCTGGAGAGGAGACTGAACAGGCGGTATTGTTGAGATCTGTAAGCGATGATGGGTATGTCTTGGGACGCCTTGCCCTGGCTATCGAAAGGAAGGGTGCCTTGCTCACGCACCACCGAGTACCGGATCGCAATTGTCACAGCGTATGCCAGTTGAAAAGCCGCGCCAAAAGTGATGAATGTCCGGCTAGACAGCATCGTGCCGTAGACTGCTTCTGCCGGCAGGTATCTCGTAAACTTCCCGTCTGCATCCAGTGCGCAATGGCCCATCAACATATCCGTGCGGGGGATTTTGAAGTTGTCGAAGGAGAGATAGCCATTGTCATTCTGGTTGTACGCAGGCTTCAAGCCGATATCTCCAAGTTCGAGGCCGGGCGTAGCTTGACCGGTCTCCGGGTCCCTGAGCTGAACCAAAAAGGGATGGATTCCGTAGTCCTTGAAGGGTTTACCAGCGGCTGTTCCTGACGGTGAGGGGACAAGCAACCGAGCCATGACAACGCCGTGAGTGGCTGAATACCCAATAGAGCCGGGCCAATACTTAATCGCCGCCAGCTGGGGTGTATGTAGCACAATGGTGTCATCGACAGGGTTGAAGGTTGCCGTGGTTTGGATGCCGGCCACATTTGATCCGTGGCCAAGCTCGGTTTGAATATACGCTCCATTGACGCGGCCTTGGGCAACCAATGGCATCCACTTCCGCTTCTGTTCCGGCGTGCCCATCAGGTCAATGGTCCTGCCGAACAGATTGTAGTGGATTCCAAAGGGACTAGCGTTGGACATTCCATAACGTGGGGTTATCACATCGAAGAGGCTGTGGCCGTGCTTGACCCCATCGATCCAGGCAGCTTTGCCGGTCTGCAGGCCCTCGCGGTAGAGATCCTCCCTGCTCGTGTGGGCATACTGGTCAGGTAGTCGGTCAGGGTCGGTAGCACCAACTGCTTCTTCGACCCGGGACCAGGCGCCGCGCTTTTGCTGAAGCGCGGCCGCTCCTCCGTGTATGATCTGGGCGAGCGCTTCTGTGTCAAAGGTGCCCCGGGCCCGGGCCTGGGCCATCAGGGTCTTCTGATGATTGAGAGCCATTGCTCCTTTGCACGACAAAATGATGTGTCCGTTCGCGGGCACCGGTCTGTTCTCCGACGACGTGTCGGTAAATAGCCACAGTCAAGGGGTCAGAAAGTGAGGAGTGAGAGATTAGCGATGCCCCGAAAGAAATCCACCAGCGAAGCCGTGGTGAAGGTAGTGAATCCCGCTCCCACAATGTGTTGAGTGGCACTCCCAGCGACACCTTATTCTGGGGACCGTTTGACTTTCCCTAGTAGACGCGGACGCTGCAAGAGGACCTGGCCCTTGTGAGGTATTTACCAACTTGAGTCCACTTCAGCTCGGCGCGTAGAGCGACCAGAGGGGTACATGCATGATACCAAGCACCTCCTCTCGGAGTGGCCTGGTCCTCGGACGATAAGATGATCGCTTTCCGGGCGTTCCTGACCCGGTAGAGCGACACCTGCAGACAGACTCGTTTGAGCGTCTCCATCCAGCTCTCCACCAATTGCCGGAGGGGTCTGATGTTGGCGCACTCCTTCGTCCGAGGGGACATGCTGAAGTGGCGGTCCACCTGGCTGTTTTCCTGCAGCCGTTGGGCCATTGCGAGCGTTGGGAATGAGGATAGTCACTCTTGCGTGTGCCCGAGAGCGGAGGGCTTGACAAACGGAGTATAGCCATCACAACCCTCTCCACCGATAAGACGTCCTGGAGTGGGTGGAAGCAAGACAACCCATAGATAGACATTGCTATGATTCGTGCCGTGGGGGAATCAGACTTTCATTGCTGCTGGATGGCGGAGACAACCAATTGTAAGGACAGGCATTCGCCGAGTTGCTCAGAAGGACGTCCTGTCGTGGTCGAAGCCAGAGACATGACCCGATCCACCGAGGTCAAGGTTTGACGCGCAGATATCTCCGTCATTGGGCCAAGGGCCGTCCAAGCGCGCGGCGCTCTTGAGAACTCGGCTACGATGCAACCAGCTCCTTCAGTTGCGGCAGGCGAGGAGACATTGGATACTGGCCTGCTTAGCGTCAAAATGCTGAAGATGTAGTTGCATCTCAGCCAAGGTAGGTCTCAATGGGAGCACAGAATGGCTTGTCAGATCTGCAGGATGAGCGCTGGGCTGGGCCGCGGATGGCAGGCCGGGTCGAGGAGCATGCTCAAGCGACCAGTGAGCAAGACCGGCCACCACACTTCGGGTGAGTTTGACCATGCAAGGAGAGACGAGGGAAGAGGGGACGGCCAGTTCGATTCCAGCGTGCTGGACAGCAGCTGGCCGCAGTCATATCGTGATTCGTCTCTTGACCCGGGTTGTGACGTGGCAGTTTTGGGGCCCGCTCATCGCATTTGTCACGGTATCTCGCTATCGTCGTCACGGGACCAAGTTGCCGGGAGAGGGGTGGGCAGGCCGCAGGCACCGATGGCGCAGCGAGGCGGCAACAGCGAGGACGTCGTCGACATGGAAACAAGCTGATGGCAGCTAGTGGTAGGACAGTGAGCCGCCGCAGGGATGAGCGAGAAGCCAAACTTGTTAAACATCCAGCCTTGCGGCTCGTGCCGAACTTGAAGCGCAGCCTCATGATTGGCTTCTCCGCACCGTCAGACTAGCGCGGGAAGGACACGACTGCTGCCATCGTACAGCACGAGAGAGAAGGATTCGACGTGGTGGGACGGCACTATGGCGACCGTGGCCCGGCTCTTCCAAGAAGCTTGTCGCGCCCGAAGACATGACCGGGTGCACCACGCATGCGTCTGCCTTCCTAGACCGACTAGACCGCGCGAGCTCACCGCCACATTGAAACGAAGACGATCGCCGTCGACGTCGTACCACCAGATCTCTGGCCGAAGGCAGCCTGCAAACATCAGGTCTGCAAGCACGAGCTCCGGGCCGAGTCGTCGCGCCGTCACCGTCACCAGTGACGATGGCCGGTACAACTGGAGCGAGTTGAGCACCGGCGAGAAAGCGGCCAGAGGGACCCAGCAGACGTTCAACTTCCTGCTCGTCTCGCTCGGCTTGGTGGGGACGGTAAGACATCCTCCTCCACGTGCGATGTTTACTGACTGTGTGGTAGATCACCGTGGCGTACTTCTTGTATCAGGAACTCCTCGCCCCCTCATCATCCACGGTCCAATTCAACGCCGCAGTCAGCCGGATTAAATCCTCTCCAGAATGCCGCGCCCTGCTTGGCCCTTCCTCGCAGATACTTGCCTACGGGGAGCCGACCTCGAGTAAGTGGGCTCGTGCTCGTCCCCTTGCGCACTCGACGGAGGTCGACAGACTTGGGACAACGCATCTCCGGATGCATTTCAACGTGGAGGGCAAGGACAGTGGAGTCAGAGGAGTGGTCACCGTGCATATGACAAAACCCAAGGATGGAGACAGGTTGGAATATCAACTTCTGAGTTTATCAGTAAAAGGCCACGAGACGGTGTACTTGGAGAACAAAGCCGCTGAAAGGGGAATCAAAGGCCAGGCTGCCAAGATGTTCGGTGTCCAGTGGCGGTAGCGAGCGAGACGTGGTGGAGGAACGAGGATGTGAAGTGTGAATCGACCATGGTTGCGCATGTGGAAAAGTACGAGGGCCCATTTAGCAGGCGTGACTTCTCTCGCGATAGACCGATACCCTTGAGCCTCCCGCATGTCGTCTTTGAACAGTCATGACTGCTTCAACTATGTAATGCCGTCTGCCACCAGAAGCATGCTCGTAGTTGCACACGCAGCCCGAGCGGCCAGGCTCTCTGTGCCGCATGTCCAACCTCAGCCGTAACCAACCAGCCCAGTCATTTCATGCGGGCACCTCGTCGCGCTTCAGCACCTGGATCTTGGTTCCGACTGCGGTCGCCACAGCGGGTGTCGGGCTGGCGTTCTCTTCACCTTCAGTTTTCTCGTCAGCAGAGACGGGCTGCCGTCTATGACTCGTGATGTCAATGCCCAAGACACCACCAATATATCCTCCCCTCTCACCGGGCACACTAAACTCGCGGAAGGTATATCCCCATTCATTTAACCAATTGCGCACGCCTTTCCCGACCTTGTCTTTTCCGTTCTTGCTATGGTGACCGGTGCCCGTGATGGCGTAGATAATCCTCCGGCCTGTGTTGGAGTGGCTGAGCAGGATGTTCTCGAGGTATTCGATCGCCTCTTCCGGGTGAAGACCATGTAAATCGATGTAGAGTTCTTCATCGTCGTCACCGCGGGATGTCGAGAGATGCTTGTTGCGTTCTTCGTACAGCGCTTTAGCCGCCTCACGATGAGCTTTGCGCATGGCGTCATTTTCTGCTTGGCCCCGGAGGGACAGAGCTTTGGCGGCGCGAGCGTCGTTGCGGTTCCATGCTTGGGCCGCACTATACTGTGTCAGTCGTTCCTTTTCCAGCGGCCGAACAACTAACCTTTGCAGAAATTTGTTGCGTATGCTGCCATGCTTGATTGCCTCCTGTCTATATTTGAGGTATTGCTGATTGGCACGAGCACCAGTCTCCAACCATGGAATATGCTGAGGCTCGGGTATTTTACGTGCTGCGGCGCTCTCAGAGCCGCCGTACGTTCTGATCTTTCGTCCTGTTTCCACCTTGCGTTGCTGGCCGAGGGCCGGGGATGGTGACATGCGGACCACGTCAGCGAGCGAAGAGGGCGTTTCCTTCTCTGCGCTTCCATGGCCGTGTCTCGACCGGTGTCCATGGTGCTTGGTTCCTCGTTTGGCCGAGCCCAAGGTAGGGAATGCGTCGGGGTCGTCCATGGACAGCGAAGAAGGTGTCTCAGGTCGGTTTTGGTGACGCGAATTGGGTCGAGAATGAGGTCGAGACCCAGGACCCAGGCCCAGAGTACCCCGGTTTTTCTGGTTGGCAGGCACAAAGGTGTTGCCAGCCATCAAGCCAGCCTGAAGGGCGCTCCTCGCGCTTGGGTGGCCGAGTGCAGGAAACTGATCGTATTGATCTTGAAGCTGGAATGCCTGGATAGCAGTGCTGTCGCCGAGACTAACTTGGTTCACCAACAAGGCCGGGTCATGAGAGAACTGGCACGCGTCTCCGGCAAGACAATTGCCGTTCATCCAGTATCTGTAGTGAAGCGTCAGCACAGGGAAGCAGAGGAAGCGCATGAGCCGACTCACTTGCATAAATAAGCACTGGTATCGTGTGCAAAACGACAGTCGGCACGGAGGCAAGAGCCAGAAGCCAGCCAGTACTTACAGACTATAGGGCTCTTGTGGGTGCTAGGAGAGGCGGGACGAACTGGATGGACTGCCATGGATTTGCCGACCAGCACCGCAGCTTCTGTGCTTGGCACCCCCGTGTATTGCTGATCCGCGGTGTCCGTCCCCAGCAGAGATGCGATGGTGGCTCCCAGATCATATGAATTCTTGTTGAGGGCCTGCTCGATCTCGTCGTCAGTCTTGCGGTCGCCCAGTACGGAGCGCAGAATGTCGTATGGACTCATGTCCGGTTGAGGAACCCATTCTGGCGCAGCGGCACTGAGGCCACCAGTGGCTGTGGAAGGAGCATTGCTGCCCGTCTCGTCAGCAAGGAGCCAGTCCACATTCTCATGCCCGTAATCTCCATAGATGTCAGGTGCTGGGCTGGCGTCAGAGAACTCGTATGCGTTCAGACTAGGGCTGTGGGGTATCGGTTGGGCCATAGCAAGTCGCGGCGAAGGTCGAGGGGACACAAACGGAGACTGCATACTGGACTTCTGCCGGGAGAAGCTCGGGCGAGAGGCAGGAAAGCCCGCCGACATGGCGGGGCTGGACGACAGCGGAGGAGGGGATCCTAGGGGTGTCGGGGCACGATTGACCTGCCAGGGAGCAGGAGATGACTTGCGAATGACATGGTGTCGTAGAGGAGTTTCAGCCGACTCCCCCCGTTGTGCGTTCCGGTGTTTCCATAACGCGTCAAGGACAGCGTTCTCCAGGGCAGAACCCTTCAGACCATACTCCTTGCCCAGTAACTCCTCTAGACGCTCTATCTTGTCCTCTTCTTCTATTGCCGCATCTTCTAGGACGGGACGACACTGGTCGTATTGCTCGTCAGAGATCATTTCGGTCGTTATGGTATTCTATTTGTATGATTCGTGTATAAGGACTGGGGGACTTGGCGGCGACGGCTGGCCCTCGACATGAACGTCTTCTTCTGGGACGGGGATCGTTGCCACCGCGAATGGGGATCGGGAGCGGGTACAGCTGCTGTATTCGCTTATTTCAAGTAATCTGATGCATGCTTCTGTTGAAAGCACAGCCGGCGCTTGGTCGGACAAGCCTCGCCGCTCGTCCAGGTCTCAACGCTCAAAGCACCGCGGTCGCTCGTGCCGAGATGCGAAGCGCAGACAAGCTCATGAAGCGGATGTTTGCCGGGTAGAACTGTGAAAGTGGTGTACGAAGTAACAGACTTGCTGTTTGGGATGCAGTGGATTGCGTGAGGGAGGGAGGAGGCGGGAGTCCTTGGAGGGGAGACGGCCACTTGGGACCAAGAGTCGAGAATAAGTCGAACAACAGAATGGAAGCTCCCGCGAGCACATGCAGCGGAAACGGATCCTGCTAAGATAGAGAAAGATGTGGAGGGTGTTCGTCGCGAGTCCGAAGGGTGCAGGGGCTGTGCACGGGATCGAAGGTCGTCGATGAGGTAGTTGGGTAAGTGATTGAATGAATGGTGGAGGAGGTGGCTATCCGTTCATGCCCCCCCCGGAGCTTTGGGTTCCCCTAATTAAGCCACCTCCACGCAGAGATTCAGCTAAGATTCAGCTAAGTAACTCTTCCGGTAAGGGAGCCTGAGCATGCCATTTTAGCTATGCGCGCAAGCACTATGCCTGGTCGGTACGAGTAGGTTCAGGTTGCTCGGTTTGCCAACCCTTACGAGTACCCGGTATCCTCGCAGCTGGTAATCCACACAGTACTCCGTACTGCGTATGCGCTCGACCTGGAGGGATCAGCATCGCATCCCCAGGAGCTTAATACTCTCGGTTCGTGAACCAGTGACGTACCATGGGGCCACCCTAAAGTCCCTTTGGCCACGCGCCGTTGAACCAGCACAAGCATTTTCGGGCTGACACTGATCCGAAACTGTATGAATTGCAAGCCGCAGTCTTCCATCATCAACAGTTCATGTCATCTCTACTTTCACGTCTGCCTACCAGTTTCTCCCGAACGGCTGTCCTCGATCAAACACCATATCAGCTTCATTAAAGATGGTTACTGTCTGCATTGGTTGATATCCGCACCGTCCGTCTTCTCCCCCCCCTCCTTCGACGAGCCTTTCAAGTGCAATCTCGTCCCGGGCTTACTCGCGATTCACCCGACCTCACTACGTTCAGCTCCCTCCTTGTCGGACGCCACCATGGTCACCACCCATGTGTCCCTCCCTGACTCAGACGATGAAGCTCCACCGCCCGGATTGCTGAGTCCCTGGAGGCCTCCCCGACGCTCCATGTCCACCGGCGGCAGAAGTTCTCCCTTCGTTCAGAGCCGCTCCGCAGCCTGGCGCGACGAGCTGATCAATAACACTGAGAAGTTGAGGCGCCGCGTGTACAAGGTGTGGGGTGGTTTGACGTTGTTTCAAAAGGTCCTTAGTGGCATCGCTCTGCTTGCATTGGGCGTGCTGGGTATTCTGTTCCTGGTTTTCAACGAGCGCATCTTCAGCTGGCTCGAGCCTCTTGCGGAGCGCTGGAAACATACGACCGGCGGCTGGACCATACTGTGGGCGGTCGTATTCCTGTGCGCTTTCCCTCCGGTAATCGGCTACTCGACCGCGGGCACAACGGCCGGTTTTGTCTACGGTGTCTGGGAGGGCTGGCTGATCCTGGCCAGTGCGACCGTGGTCGGATCATTTTGCGCCTTCGTCGTCTCCAGGAGCCTTTTGCGAAAGTGGGTTGAGCGGATGACCGCGAATGACAAGAGATTCGCCGCATTCAGTCTAATCCTGAAGCACGATGGGCTCAAATTGCTGGCCATGATCCGGCTCTGCCCTCTGCCTTATTCCCTCTCCAACGGCGCCATGTCGACGTTTCCCACCGTCAGTCCATATGCGTATGCCTTGGCAACCGCCATGGTAACGCCGAAACTGTTGGTTCACGTCTTTATCGGGAGTCGCCTGGCGGTCATTGCGCGGACACGGGAGAAGATGACCATGGGCGACCGAGCCATCAACTATGGGAGTATTGCACTGGGCGCCATCATCGGAGCATCAACGGGCTTTTACATCTACAGACAGACTATGGCTCGAGCCCGAGAGCTCGAGGCCGAAGAAGCCAACCATGTCCGAGACTCTACCAGACGGACAGGCCATCTGCCGGCGGAGTTCAGTGACGACCCTGAAGCGCAAGCCGCTGCAAACACGCTCGCACGGGACGACGACCGGATAGACTATTTCGACGATTCGTCTAATGAGCAGTCCGAGTACCATGATGAGTCTGATAACGATCACGACGTTTTCGGGAAGGGAGACGGGGACGAAGACGAACCCGTGACCGCCAACATCACTCTGCATCCACAGAAGAAATGAGCATGGGGGGCCGGATGTCTGGTTTGAGAAGTCCGAAATCACCGTTATAGAATATACTGCATAGACTAGATGGCGTGTCCTGTGATGAGCACGACGAATGCATAACCTACGGACGACTCACTGTACTAGCGCAGAGCACGTCGCTGAGAATGATATTATCGATAAGTTCAGTTGCTGGCGGTCGCCCGAGACTGCGAGGATGATCAAGGCATATTCTTCTTGAGAACGCCTCTACAAGAAATAGCGTAGGAGTTATGGTATTGCCAGTGCGAGTAGCTCCATCACCATCATCCGGCCCCACCAAGCATCAAACACCAACGGCCACGAACTCAGAAGAACACCATTTCCAACAGGGTCGTATCGCATTTTCGCGTTGTCCAATAGCGAGTGCGTCACGCGTTACGGGCAAATGCATCCGGCTGCGTCATTGCTCTCTGCGCTCACTATACGAGTTACCTCGCCCCCAATTTCTCGAAGCCTTACAGCCACTTCACACGACGTCTTGTCTCTTTGTGCGTTGTCTCGTCCTTGGCTGGACTTGTGGTTCTTGCTCTCTGGGTTTGCTCTAGAGCAGGTCCCCGCCTCACTCTGTGTGCTGCATTCCCACCACGCCTTCTTTGGCGATCCACTTGCATACATCCATATGGAGCAGTCTCGGCAGTAGACCGCCTGACCCGAGCCTGTCAGGCTTTCTCAGTCGTTGACCCAGTTGAGCCTCCACCAGGATCGCTGATGCAGTAGCAATGAGGCTACGGCCGCCCGTCTCCTCGGCTGGAGCCTCGCCGGTCATTTCTGAACTGCCATAAAATGGCCCCCCACGGCCTCGACCCAATCTCTCCAAGGCCTCCTTCGCCTCAATCTCCGCCTCGGTTTGTCGATGGCTACTTTCCTCAACAACCCTCTCCTCCGATGGCCATCCACAGTGATGACCGGGTGCTTCAATTGATCCAACAACTCGAAGCAGACCGTAAGGTTTTCGACAAGCTCATCGACGCTCTAAGTCAGGCCCTTAAGTCCCAGCCGGACCGGAACGATCCTCGCCCTACCGAGACATCCCTCCCATCTGCCGCTTCTACATCCTCTCTGCCAGTGTCTGACGTCGCTCGACAGCCTCAACAACCAAAAAGACGGACGACCAGTCTGACGAGTCATTCAGCCCTCAGCCGCCACGTCCTAGAGCAACACAATCACTCCCGCCAACCCAAGGATTCGATTTATACCGGAGATGGAAGTTCTGACAGCGACGACGACGAGTCGTTCTTCGCCCAGGAGACATTGCCGCCGCAAGACTTCTCCGAGAGTGATCTGATCGAGCATCTGCAGACACATACATGGGATAAATACAGCCAATACATACTCCAAGACCTTCTGCAAAACATCGACTTGCTTTCCGTTGGCATTTTCGTCAAGGATAGGCACCATCAGACGGATGCTAATCACCAACATGCTGACATCTACCACGTTGGCACCGATGGCGCACCTGTCCGTTTATCCACGGGTGGTTCGGATGAAGGCCCGCTGGCCTCTTGGGAAGCGTTGAAGAGTATCAACAGCAATGCCTCCAGGAAGCAAGCTGTGGGCCGTATCATCATTGTGCGAGAGCCCGCGTCGAGCCTGTTCGCTGCGCTGCACCTCACCATGCACGAATACTTCGACATGGACTCGATCTACAAAATTTTGATCGATGATGACACCCCGAGTAAAGCAATTACCAAGGGCTACCTCGAGAAGGACCAGCGTCGGCAACGATCCATTGTATTTGTCTTCAAATATCACACTATTGTGGGAGAAGGACGGGCTCCCCTCCACTGGCAGAGCCATGACGACGACCTAGATCCTTCAAAGGATCACATTCCTCTGGCGACGTAAGCATTTCGGACTTGGGGTTTCCAACTCGACACAGACTAACAGACGTTCGCAGGTGTTCCTCCGTCGTCGGCCTGTCGCTGGCAGGGAATCCCGCTTATACGCTACGGCGGAATTCCAGAAAGAGCAAATTGGTACTTGGGAACGTCTACGACCCCTTCGCACCATGGCATGTGCTATCGATACAGTGCTTTCCGGACTGGAACTCGAACGTGGAGGCACATGACCACAATCATCACTACTGTAACGGACCCGACGCGTTCTTGGCCACTCTCTTGTCCGAATATCGAGACGCAATCAAGCGGTTCAAGGTGGTGCATAAGAAGATTCAAGGGCTGGCAACACCGCCAAATAGCTCCATCTTCGACAGTGCCTTGCGAGACGAACTGCTCTTCGAGAACAACAGATTCACCTATTCACGTCGCTACTTCTGGGCGTCACAAACACTGGGTCTGTTAAGCAACGAAATCAGGGACATGATCGCAACCTACAAAGACACCTTCACAGATGAGTTCTGGACTGGAGAACACAAGACGCTCTTTCCGGGCACAAAGGACCAGTCGCCGCGCTACAACAACTGGAGGAAGAAATTGGTCCATACTCGGAGACATTTTGAGAAGGAAATGTCCCATCTGGAAGAGGTCTTCCAGACGTTTCAGGATCAACAAAAGCAGATTAAGAATCTTCGTGAATGGTTGTTTTCTGGGACCTCCGTGCTAGAAAGCAGAGAAGCTGTCAGCATGGCCAAGATCACGGTCGAACAAGGGTATAACATCCGGCTGTTGACGCTCGTCACGCTGTTCTACCTTCCCCTGAGCTACGTGACAGGTATCTATGGGAGTACGTTTGCCCCGATTTCGTTATGCCATTCGCTGACATGATCTAGTGACAAATATGCCCCCCGAGGACTCTTTTCTACCGTTCGCGCTGACGACAGTGGGGATCTGCGTACCCACGTACCTACTCATCCTTATCGTGAACAATCCCGAAACCTTCAAAAAGGTGCTGGCCAATGTCGGGCTATTCTTCACCAGAATTACAGCAATCCCAGCACCCAAGAGATCCAAGAAGCTCAGGGAAAAGATCCTCGAGCACAAGATGCCGCATCTGGAAGTCCAACCTGAAATGCACAGGTCTGCCACGTTTGCCAGCTTGGAAGCGAGGTTATCGCAGGAATTGACTCAGGAGCCTTCTCTGCGCGGATCGCAAGGTTTCATGCAAGCTACTCGACGAATGTCCCAGACCATCACGAATCACCTGCACGGCGCAAGCGGACGACATTCTTCGCAGGCAGCGACCCGCATGCCGCCTAGGTTGTCTACATATCCAGAATCACAGAAGGGGTTGGCAGGAGGTCGTATGCGGTCCAGCACCATAAAATTCGAGGAGCCATTCTCAAGCCCAATGAAATGGCGCACGGAGGAATCACAGGCAACTACAGTTCGGGATTTCGAAAAGTCTACTTCGAATATTTCCGCAATCTCACCAACGGAAAGCCCTGCTCTGCCAGCAGTTGTTCTCACTAGTCCAATTGGATCACCATTGTCGTCTCCGCCGCAGAGAGGCCTGCTGCGGCCGCCAGACTCACGACGACGAGGAAGGAGTCTCAGCCCGCGGAGTGGAGGTGGCGCAAGGTCGCTCTTCGGTAGACTTGGCGGCCGATTGTCGTCGGCGCTGCCATCGCCAAAGTCATCAGAGCCAGGAAGTCCCATGGAGACAGTATAACATCGACGTTAACAAGTACGAACTCAGTAGCTCCACCTGGATGCAATCTCGGATGCGAGGAACGAGCTAGACGAGGGGATATGTGAGTTGTATGGTGGGGTTCAACGCAGCCGCGACCAGAAGACCGACGTGTCTGACGAAGCGTGTCACCAGACCGGAACCAATGTCGAAACGATCAAATGAATGTTTAGTCCCTTACGAAGACACGAGACGAGACGAGATGATGTATAGTAAGACTTTGCAGATCAACACTACAAAATCGATGACGACCGAGCAACCATTAAATCAATGACGGGTTCAAGAGCCAACAGACAAGCGAACAAGCGAGTGGACGAACTAACGATTTTAACGACTGAATGAATATAAGCATGCAGGACCATCAAAAGGCATATGTCGGGCGTCGGCCATTCTACCAGCAGTGTGTGACAGTGATGCTTGATCGGTCGCCTCACGGCCCTTCTGGAAAGAAATTTGTACTGCACCTTGGTCAATGCAGATGGCAGATGCAAGCTATATAGCGTAGACAAAATGTATATATGTGAATACACATACACATACGTAAACTGGTAGGGTCCGACGGTCCGACGATCTCGGTCTATTGTACACAGGGACTACACCACCGGTGTATGAGTATGTGTATGAGTACAGTACTCCGTACCGGGCACGCTTTTCCATTGGAAGAAGAAGCAGAAGAAGAAAAGGGCAAAACATTGCTTGATCACTTCCCAGTGGTTGTTGATATGATTGCCTTCTCTGCCTGGCTGGGCTGGCTGTCTGCTTATGCCCTGCCCACACCTCACCCCAGCTGGATAGAACGAGTTGCTCAGAGCAGGCTGCTGTCCAGGCAGAACTCTGCGTCCGCACTCGCACCGGTACAGTACTTGTTGAACTTGTATTTTTGTATTGAGGCAGATGTCCATCGAACCTGGATAACCGATCGATCGATCAATCGATCAACCACGCGAAAGGGGACTCACTCTCCCTCCTTCCTGAACAGAACCAGACGAGACCACACGACACGCCCAGACGCCTCATTTCCATGTCTCCCGTAAACAACTCCGTGGAACCCCCTCGGGTACATAGATATATATGTATGTGTTGCCTTGATGCATGCGTGGCTGGATGGCTGGATGTAACATACGTACGTAACGTACGTATGCTTGTGTCGTCTCCTCCTCGCTCATACACATTCCAGAGCATGGTTGTCACCGCTAGTACAGTACAATACACTAGGGACTTCAGAGCTGAGGAGGAGTTGAGGTCCCTTGTCCGCCGTCCCCACTCGCCTCGTGCCGCATTTTTCTGTCTCATCATGACGGAACAGCTCTCCGGGAGCCGGGATTTGGTGCTCTTCCGCTACTCGTAGGTGGTTCGCATTGCCGTCTGCCAAGGTATCGCTCCTCGGGCTGATTGAACACCGCTTCACTGTTAACTCGGGCCCTTCTCGGCCTTGATATTTCTCCGAACGAAAATGTCCTGGATGTGGAAGAGCAGGCATGGATAGACACGACGAGATACCAATGCCCGTAATGTGCCTTGGTTGTTGGTTCAGATCCCAAAGATGGACGTGCTGGTGGCAGTGGCGGTTGCAATGGCAGTAGCACGTATCATCCCGTCCGGTCCCGTCCGGTCCCGTCCCCTCTGTTCGCACAGCGCCTCGTCGCTTCTCGGACATGACGAAGACAAGCTCAAACAAACTCCACGCTACGCGTGGACGGAATTCGCTTGACCTTTCGTTGCCCATTTCCAACCCAGCGAGACAGGCACTCAGTTCGTGTCTGGATCAGACCTTCACATGCCGGCCCTCCCGCTCCACCACCTTGACAAGTCCCTTGTACGTCTCGGCCCAAGTCTCTGTTTCCGACTCGGGCCCCTTATCCTTATCCTTCTTGTCCGCGGCTTTCTTGCCCACGTCCCGACTCACCATCACGACACTGGTCGGGCGTTTCGTCATGCCCGCGATGCCCAGCTCCGCCCGGCTGGTCACGTAAATGTAAGGGATGTGATGGTCCTCCGCCAGCACGGGGATGTGGCTGATCACGTCCATGGGCGAGATGTCCGCGGCGAGGATGACGATGCCGACGGGCAGGGACTCGTTGTCCTGAGAGGAGGGAGACTTTCGCAGCGCTTTGACGACTTCCTTGACGCCACGTTTGAGGGTGCGGTGCGCCGCGGCTGCAGGGAACAGAGATTAGCATTTCACATCAGACAGAGATGATCAGGCCCTTCCGCTGAGAACCGAGTCGCAAACAGAAACAGGGTGGCTCCAGTACGTACCTTTCTTGACACTCTTGAACACCTTCTTCGCGACCTTCTCGTCCGCAAGGGGATTCGCGAACGGGACGAGCGCGCCCACAGGCCGCACGACAGAAGCTTGGCCCTCCTTCTTGGGATGGGCTTCGGGTTTGGCATTCTTGAGACTCGTCACGGCTTCTCCTTTTTCCTCGCCCTCTTCATCTTCGCCTTCGTCGTCGTCGTCCTCCTCAGAGTCCTCACCACCCGCACCATTCATTGTCGTATCTTCTTCTTCTTCACTGGAGACTTCATCCCCAGCCGTGTCCTTCACGTCCTCGTCCTCTTCACTTTCGTCGTCCTCGGCGTCCTTGGCCGCCTCAATCTCATCCAACGCCCTCTCCGCACGGGCCTTCTTCTTCTCCAGATCCTTCTTGCCGTTCACCTCCTTTTCCTTCTTGGACTTGGACTTGGTCACGCCGCCCTTCTTCGCCAATTTCTCCACCTTGCGAGCATGTTTTGCGGCCTTGCGCTCCGCTTTGGCCGCCGCCTTGGCCGCCGCTTTCGAGGCCTTGGAGCTTCCCGTCGCGGACGATTTATCTTTCGCCATTGTAAATGAAAGGTACGAGGGGAGATTGTGCGTCCGTCGCGAACGTCACGTCTGTGGAAGCGTGCGAGCTCTATCAAGAGCAAAGACAGAGTCCTTTTGAGAGGGTTGTAGAAGCGTGCGAGCTCTAGCAAGAGTACTCCGTAAAGACAGACAGTCTTCCTTTTTGAGAGGGTCCGTGCGAAAGTCGTGGACCTAAAGCACTAGCACTTTCTGGCAGCACCCGCCGCGTGCGCTGAGAGACCGAAGAATGAAGGGTGAACGGTGGAGAGCGATATGGAGCCGGGACTTGCACCTCGTACTGCTCTGCTCTGCTCTGCTCTACTCTGCTCAACTCGACTCGACCGACTCTCGTGGCTCGAAATTTGGACAGACTTCTCCGCACCTTGTGCAGGAAAAAAAAAGAGACGGCGGTCCAGTTTCGGTGTCAAGCTTTGAAAATTGGGCTGGAGTTTGCTGCCGCTAGAGCGAGAGAGGGGCGCTAGCCGTCTTGGGCGACTCACGCTGTTTACCTATTGTCACGTGGTTACATACAAATCGCTGTGCACTCGTACCACAGTAGCAGACGGCAAGTCGTATTTGCTGGTGGTTTGAGTAAGACTGGTGCTACAGTACGTACTCAGTTCCGCTAGTCAGTACTGCGGGTAGTGGGAGCAGATCTGAGAGCCAAGTTTGACCCCCGTGAGATGCAACGCATGGATCGTGCGCAGATTCGTTCCTCACGGCTGCGACCCTGCTACTGCTCTGCTCTGCCATGTTCATGCTATTCCAAACTTTTGTACGTATCCTACTGCACTGTATGTACTCAAGCAAGTCGTCCCCGGGATGACATGACCCAGAGCACGACTCTCTCTTTCCTTTTCGGTTCCTAGCACTGTTTCGCTCGTCACTTTGTCCCCCAGGTTTCCAGTTTATGGCAAATCGTTCACAATTTCTTCCCGGTCGCAACGGTCCGGCTCGGGCGTGTAGGCATGCTCCGTTAACTCTATGCTGATGCTCTCATTCCGTGCTATTCCAGAACGCCCCTTCTCGTCGTAGCTCATCATGCTCCTGTTGGCCTGTGTCCAGGGTCCATTGACACCTTCGCCGCTTGAGCCGGTCCGTCGACGGCTGGTCTCTCGGTCAATGTCGACAGAGCCGCCTGATCCCGCGATGCATCAAAGGACCGTCCTCTTGGCGAGAAGTGCTCCTGTGCAAACGCAGCCAGACTACTTCTTGAAGCGCCCTGCTCACTCCGCGGCGGACTCTTGGCCCTTTCCTTTTCAGCCTGCCTCTCTTCTCTAGTTTGCGAGATTTTGGCCTTCCACTTGCCGAACAAGCCTTTCTTCTCCATCTCCCCATTGAGGTCCTTGTTAGGATCCCCCGACTCCTGGTGGGAATGGCTCACTAGGTTTTGCTGTCCACTGACGTTCGGGTCGATGATCGATGACTGGGTCAGCTGTGAATCACCCGTGAAGCTTTTCCGCGGTCGACTCGAACTGCCGAGAGAACTGTTACTTCCCCGGGCCCCAGCATTCTGTCCAATGGGAGGCGGCGGGGCAAGGGGTGAGTTTTCTCCCTTCTTTGCTGACGACGAGAACCTCCAACGATGGCGACGCTTCTCCCTTTCAGGCTGAGGAAGGGCATCATCAACTACGTCGCCATCTGAGTGGTCGGTGAAGGAGGACCGAGAACGTGTGGATCCTGGGGGAGACGACGGAGGCTTCAAGGCCTGATTCTGCGCATCAGCCCCGGAAGTAGGCGTCGGAAATTGCTTCGACGTTGGAGCCTCATTGACGGGTGTGGCGGCCGTGTTCGTGAAAGCGGGACCCTGCGGCGCAGCTAACGGGTCATGTCGTGCAACACTATTAATATCAGGTGAGACAAGAGGTGTGTGGAATGTCGCCGTTTCGTCGCCATGGAGTGAATTCATCGAGCTTTGAGCGCTGTCGTTGGAACTTCCGGGAATCTTTTGCTTCTTCTGCAACTTCCTCGGTTGCCTCCCCTGGGCGTCCGAGGGCCCAAAGATGGGCGACTTGGGAAACAAGTTCGAAATCTTCCGCTCTCGTGTTGTGATGGGTGGTGGAGCCGCAGTCGTGACCGGTGCCTGGCCGGTCTGGTTAGGCCCCGGTGGTGCTGCTGGCAGAGGCTGAGCTTGTGGTTGCGGAGGCTGACCGGGTGCCTGGACCGGCGCTGCCGGTGCAGGTGCAGGTGCAGGTACTGCTCTGCTGTCAGCATCGTCTGGTTGGATAGATCCAGATCTGGATGACTTGGACTCGGTCGGCTCCTGGGTCGTGGGTGGAGCGGTGTTCTCTTGGGCAACAGGGCCGGCTGGAGGAGTGGTCGAATCGCCGGAATCGTTGACTCTCTGAAACCGGTTCGGAGCAATGGCGGGAGATCTTTTTGAGGGAACAGTGTTGCTTCGCGCGATTCCTCCGCTTCCGGAGAACGAAGTGACACCCGACGGTGTGCCCGGGCTTGAAACCCCCGGGCTCCCTCGTTCCCGGGAACCTCGAGATGAGACTGAGACGTTGCGCCGGACACCATACTTCCGAAGACTTTCAGCACCAGCACTCGCGTTTGATGCCGACCGACCAATGGCTTTGGGCGACCGTACAGATGGCGCGCCGCTTTCCACGTCTTTCTGAGTTTTTTCATCGACCGCGGTGCCCGACATGCCGATTAAGAAGTTATCCTGGTTCTCGATCAAAAAGATCAACACATCTTGACTAAGTCGATACTCCTGCGGCGACATGTCGTGCGACGGGTGTGACAGGATGCCAGGCTGGAATATCGCGGCCAGGTTGTTGGCCGTCATGCGATTCAGGTCTGACTTTGAAGCGAAGACGGCGAGGAGATCAAGTAGGTAGAGGAGCAGTTGGCGATTGAGAGGCGGCAGCTCGGTTATCAGCTTCTGATACGCAGCGACAGCGATGTTGTGGTCGTCGTAACTCATGTCGCGCGTCTGCGTCCCACCGTTGTTTCCAGGTGTTAGCGTCGCCGAGCGAAGAGGCGCGCGAAAGCGCTCGTAGAACTCGAGGGGGACAATGGGCTCTGGCAGCTGGTTGAGATATCGACGCAGAATGTTGGCCGCATCGTGGACCGTGTAGCCGGTCCAGTCTAGGCCTTTCCCATATCTGTCTGGCGAGTCGAAGATGGTCTGCAACTCCTTGATCCTTTTCGCGGATCCGCTCAGACGAAAGATACCCTCGATGTCGGTAGCTGAGATCCGTCAGTCCGGTCTAATGTTATGGGGATAGATCGTACCTTTCTCTTTAAGAAACACTCCGCATTTCGCCACCACAATCGGCACGTAGCCGTAGATGAAGCTCTCGCCGTTATCATTCTGTAACGAAATGGCCACATTTGCATATCTAATGCTGTCGGCCAGAGGGACCCCGAATATGCCCGGACCACCGTCAGCTGGTGAAGAGTTAGTGACAGGCAGCCCTTCCGCGCATTTTCCTGCTCACCTTTCTCCTCGTTCTTTTCTGTTGTCTTCCTGAACTTTTTCCACCATGACGCTAGCTCTCGCCTCGACGGAGGAGAGACGGTGCTTAACGGGGGAGGCACGGGAGCAGCGCGGTGGAGAGGTTGGACAATGGGTTGTGGAGAGGTCGCGGTGCCAGCGCTTCCTGTCGCCATAGTGCGGTTGCAGCTACAGGCGCGGGTGCGCTTTTCACCGCTGTTGCGAAGCCGGAATGACCGCCTCTTATGATGCTGACGTGCCTCTAGGTTCGGTCACTTGGTAGAGCTCGACGGTTCGGCGGGAAGGAGGCGGCGCAGCTCAGGCCACCGCTGATTTCTTTATGCGTTTCCGAGGACAGTAGACAGTGTTGTCGCCGGTGCGTGGATCGGACGCTGACGGCGAATGTGGAGGAGGATGAATGTGCAAGTCCTCGGCGAGTCTCAGCTGAAAGCAGGACTGGCCAAGCGCGAGAGCAGGGCGCTGCTCAGAGTTTGGTCCCAGCCGCTGTCAGTGGGCGCAGGCCTTCGCTGAGTGTGTCTGACAGTTGACGCAGAGAAGGTTGCTGGAAAAGTGGGAAGTGACAGTGACAGGGACAGGAGCAGAAGAGCCGAATCGAAGACGGAACGCGACGCTGGACAGCAGGGGGCGAAAAGAGGGTGGGTGTGGGAGTGTACAGTATGTGAATGCGAGCGTCAATGTGAGGTGGTCTGGAGTTTTGTCTAGGTATGAAAGAGGGTTGGGTCGGTGGGAGGTGCAGTCACAAAGATCTAAGTACGAGTAACTAGTCAGCCACCTAGTTTGCTGCTGTAGGCACCGTAGGTACAGTAGGGTTTGGCCCAGCGCAGCCTAAGACCGGCTTCGGTGCCCCCCAGTGGCCCTCCAGGCTTTAGTGGCGCCCCCAGGCCACAATAAGCAAGCGACACCCGTGCACGCACCACCACAACACACGACTCACCACCATCGAAGCCACTCTGAATCCGCGGCCCTTTCCTGCCTCGCCGTGAACCACCACGTTACTGGCTTCGACGGGCAGGTCAAGAGATCCAAAACGACACCTGCTGCACCCGTGGCCATGCAAGTGGTTGAACTGCCTCTCAGACGTCAGTTGCTTATTCTCTTTGGCTTGGTTTCTCGGGTGTTCGCGTAGGCAACCGTTTAAGACCCTAGTGCTCATCTGCCATAGAGCATGATTCGCTTTCTTCGATACCCTGCACATTAGTCTGACGCCTGCTGCATCTTCAGGTACAAAAGTCTGCCTCGGAGTCCAATACGGGAATGGCGGATCGAAGGCTAGGCCAGCAACCGTCCTCCGTACCAAGGTGCGCGCATGACTTCTCAGAGGTGCCGGGGCTGTTTCAAGACGTGTCACTCGCTACGATCTTGAGTTGTGAGATCTGCAATGGGCCTTCACAGGTCACGACAGGTTTAACCGTCGAAAATTCGACGATGGAGCCCTATATTTATATTTAACTTTTGGCTCAAAGGGCGGCGTGCACAGATCCAGCCCGTCCAAATCTTGCGGCTCGCCAACTCCTGCTCCGAACTAAAGGCGCAT